ATGGCATCCCTTAGCACCCTACCATCTATAGTTGAACCTTCCCACTCCGGGAGGACATAAATAAATTGCATGTTTGGTGTGCAAACACCAAGCACATTCGTTGTAATTTCATTCTTTTGGGTGCGATACCTGGGTTTGTCAATTGAGTCCATGTGAACCCGTATATATGTTCCATCTAAAGCACCCAAACAATTCTAACAGGATAGCAAAAACAAGGAAACATTAAATTAATTTCTAGATAATGTCATAAGCAAACAAATATGAAAATGATAAACCGAATAGGCACAATGTGTACCTTGAACCATTTCCATCTGTCATCAGTTGAATTCTCCAAGATTGGATCTGGTTTTTTCAGCAGAATTCTATGCAGTCTCAACACAGCTTGCAACACTCTATAGAAATTTCATGAAACTGTCTCACCAGATCTTTTTGTTTGTCTTTTAAGAACTTTATTCTTCACATGGTGCGCAATTATGTGAAGAAAACTAGCCACCATCTATTCTACAGTTGTATTTCTAGTTGATGCTAATCTGCCAATACTTTTTAGTAAATGACATAACTTATCAAATGATTTGACATCCATTCTACAATTCTCAAGACACTGTGTATTACTATCGAAAACCATGTTCTGTAAATTGAGTGACCTAACATTATGTCTATCAAATCGCTCAGCCGCATATCTTATAGGACGCCTACCCATTGCTCTCAAATAACGTCTACCCCTGGAAGTTATAAAACCCTTAGTATTCCTATTCCTATGCAGCATAACAAGCCCAACAATTAGAAGCATGGCGAACATGTTTTCCATCATGTGCAATTGCAAAAGTAAGATTTGACCAAACGCATCTTCTACCTTAGGGGTAAACGAGCCATGATTGTTTCACCTACTCCATGTATCAACAAGCATAATATTACTCACAAACACCTATACCATTTCACTTCACAATTTAAAGTACATCAGCACCAAAACCACTACACTAGACAGTCAAGACAAACTATGGAATGACAACCACCCAAACCCAAACAACAAAATGTAAAACCCAAAGGCTATGAATGCATACATTTTAGGAAGATATAGCCAGCCATTTCAAATAGCACATCACAAAAAAAGAACATCCACACAATCACTGTATCACACATGCATACTGCCTTAACAAACCCAAATTCAAACAAAACAACTTGAAACAAAACAGGGAAGCATAGCCTAGAATTTAAACCAACATGCTCCATTCTCTACAGCGACCATATCATATTAAATACTAAAGACCATCAAACCATGCTCGAACACTGACACTTCGAACAAGATAATCATGCCAACAACAGTCCCCTTTTCATTCGAACACAACATCAATAGATTTGGGAGCAGTTTCGTGTATGAATGGACCAAAAAATTGACCCTTTTCATCGAAGTTGTTTGATTACTGAAAATGGCGAATTGAATCACACAAAATATAGTATTACAGAACTCACCTAACTCGATCAAAATGATGGAGATTGACAGAGACAAATTGCTGCACTTCGGGACTGGAACTACTCGACGACAAACAAAAATCAACGCATTAGTGTACAATTTAATAAACAGCAACACAAATGTTTGGTGAAAGGAACCAACCTGGTGTGCTTCGTGTCGATTGGAGAAGAAAGAGAACCCTGAAAGCATCGCTGGTTTTCGTTGTGGAGGAAAAGAAAAAACGATGGTGGATTAGGGTTTAATTGAACATATAATATGTATTTTTTGTTTTTTCAAATATCAAGGGCTTTTTTGTGTGGGGGGCAGAAAAGTCATCCTAACTCAATTTGGGAAACTTGTAATTTAAAAAGATATATAAGGGCAAATGTATCCGGAATGATAAAATATTAAGGGCAAAATAGGGTAAAAATTATGACTACCCCAATAATCTAACATTAACACCCCCTAGGAAGGTAATCTGATTACCCCAAATATTATCAATTGAAACACTATTTGCAATAAAATGTTACTGTAATATTATATTACTTGACAACCAAATGAGAGAATCTTGAAAATTAAACAAAGATTACATGACTAATCTTATTTCACCCCGAACCAAACGCACCCTATATCATTTCTAATATTATTGGTAATCCGGAATCTAAAAATATATTTAACATGCTTTTTATTTGATTAATTATAAAATGACATGGTATATCAACTATACCTAATACTCTCTCACCCTTCTCGGTCTATTGACTTCTTTTAATTTTTTTTCTTGCGAATTATGAGTAAAATCAATACTAGTCATGTGGATAATTTGACAAAGTAAAGTGGACGATAAATTTTGTTATTGAAACAAATAATTTTCAAATATTTTTAGCTCCCATTCTCTCTTCTTTGTACCCTATTTAACTCTTTTTGTTTTTTCTTCTTTTTTTGTTGTATAGTAGTATGATTTTGAATTCTCGACAAATTGTTAATCAAGTTATAAAATTGCACTAAACTCTTTACTTTTTATTGATCCAAACTTCTGATAATATTATGTAATTGTAAATTTGTAAACCCATCGAAATTATACATGTCTATTAACATAATGATTTTTAATTACTTCATCACACATGATTCCAATGCTTATAAAAGTTTGCCACAAACATACTTATATAAGTAAGGATTTTATAACTAATTGATAGAACTTCCTTAACTTTAAGTTCCAAAATAAATAAAAATAAAACTTCTATTGGTCATTCAAAAATATCTTATTGATAGTAATTGAAAAATTATCTTTTTTTTTTTTTTTTATCATTAATCTTTAAAATGTTTTGAATTACAATTTAAGTAAATTTTAGAATAAAATAATAAAAAACAAGTTTCACATACTTTTCATTTTCAACCAAAAAAAAAAAAATCTTATTTGATTCGGATTAATTTTCAAAATAATAATCCTAATAAATAAACAAACATATATTCTGTTTTTTTAATCTAAGTAGGATAATAAAAAAATGATCGAAAAGAGTGAAACAAATAGGGGGTATAGCCTTTTTTTATTTTTTATAAGATTTAATTGCAATTCATCATGAAATATTACCTATAAGTAATTTCATTCTCAGATATTTGAAATAATAATTTACTTTGATCATCAATATTTCATTAGGGTTTCAGTTTCTAATTTAATGAACCAAAGATAAAACATGTTAGTAAAACAAAGAAAGCCCCTAATTAAAGAAATGATGGAAATTGGTAAATTGTTGTTCAATGATACTTTAAGGAACATAATTAAGGGTTGTCTTAGGAGATATTAGAAGACAAATAGATTTACTTATTTCAATAAAATATTATGTAAAAAAACAAAAACGTAATTTCAAACCAAATTTGTGACTTTTAGACATGTTGATTTAATCTTTTAACGTCTTTATTGCTGACACCGACGTTAAATCAAGTACAATAATGATTATGTTTCTTATTTCCATGGTATTCATTCCCTCAGTCTCTTATATATCTCCGTCAATGTGATGTGACTTACATTAAAAGAATAGGGTGAGCCTGAGCCTAAAACGATTTTGTCAAGAAAAGCAAAATGTTATCATATTGATTACCTAAAGTTACTTTGTCATCCATAAAATATTGGATTAACATACAATCATTATTGTTGAAATGCCAAATTTGTGGACATCATATGGCTGTCACACTCTTGCCTGTGTGCTCATGGGCTGGCTTCTTTCACATCAAACACCACCCTCTTCCACCCACAACCACCACCACAAAAGTCCTTTTCTCCTCCTCTTCATCCATCGATGGCCATGTCGACAAAACATTCTTGACCATAACTTTTTTTCCCAAGAAAATGTGGAAATTAACACGTGCCATATTAAGATATTTTTACCAATAATGAATTTATTCCATGAGATTATTTAACATGAAATGAATTAGTATTGTATATCTCGATAATGCCTTAAAAATATCAAATTCCTATGTTCTCCTACCAAGTTATCAAAACCTTCATGACAAAGGATATTATTTAATACTTCGTGGTAAAAGTTTAAATAGGAACTTTGAGTGTTTTGACACTTGACCTTGAGTTTAACCGATATAGTATCATTAATGATGGAAAATTACAAAATACATAGCCAAATCGAAATCGAGTTCCTTATCTCATTGTGTCGTCTTGTGAATAATTGGACCTCAATAAAATTCCAACAACCAGATCAACTTGAGATCAGACCGTTTTCTATTTTTTTATGATTAATATTTAATAATATACATTCACAAATTGCAGGGTGGCCAAAAGTCAAGGGCTATACCAGGGATCTTCTTTCCTAAGATTAATTATCTAGGGACCGCAACGTTGCAATCAAACTGAAGCTATCTTTCATTGGTCGTTTTCAAAGATTTTGTCATTTTGTTAATGAAGACGTATAAACTTCTTTCAATTTATTTTTTTATTAAGGCAAAGTTATTATTCATTAGACATATTATTTTATAGTAGGATAGTATATTCGTAAAATTGAAATCCCAATTGATGATGTATTTGATAACGAATCAAAGTTATATTAATTATAGGGAAATAAGTATTTTATCATATTAATGGTATAAACAAATCATCTGACATAGCACTTGAGATTTCAAGTATGTATCCTATCATTATTGTTAAGAATATATAATTGTAGATTCGCACTTAAAATTTTTCCTGTTATAATAAATTTGAAATTTTCTTATAGAGTTAGGAGGCGTCACTGAAAAAGTTATTGGCAAAGATAATCTCTTGATCTTTTCCAAGTATACAAGTTTCATTTGTAATTCTCTTCCTAGGTTTCCTAGTTGGTTCATTCTCTCCCTTGATGTTACACAATTATTATTTGAACATATCACAACATACAATTAGATTGCATCTAGGAATTAAAATAAAAATTCCCAACTTGTTTGATTTAACCTCCGTATAAAATATTATCACATGTTTCAATTTCGTCCGCACTGATGTCAGTATATGCATGTGGTTCTGTTCCATTGGTCCTACGTACAATCTTTTTCTCCATCAATACAAAAATTCACCTCCATTTATTGTGCAAAACATGTGAACAATGCTCAACCATCTGTTTCTCAAGCGTTAGAGAATTCTTCTACAGTATGTTCCATTCCCTGTCCATTCAATGCTCATTGCAATTATGCAAACATATTTTTATTCCTTGCACGAGTTGTAATTCCCTTTTGAGCTGATTTTGTGCTTAGTGGATATACTATTTCAGATTCTTCAATGATCCACTGAATTTTTTTTTTAATGCAGAAAGGCAGTGTCCTGAGCTGAGTTGAGCTAGAATTATGGAGGAGGATAAGTGTAAAGAGCCACTCTTGAAGAGGAAATACTATGAGAATTGCTCGGGGTGTAAAGTTGAGCAGCTTAAAGAGACAAAAAGAGGCTTACCAATTCGAGAACTTGTTTCTATATGGATTGTTGTGCTTTGCACTTGTAAGTAAATGACAAAAAAAAAATTAACTTAAATGGGTTGTTAATTGTAGAATTCTGCATTTTCTGTTCTTTTTTGGAATTTTTTCCTGATATGTGTTGATCTCTTGTTGTATTAAATGTTTTCAGCACTGCCAATATCATCTCTCTTTCCCTTCCTCTATTTCATGGTGAGTATTTGATATAAAAAGCTGTTATCTTCGTCTTGTTATATATTTACATCTCCAACGAGTTTGAGAAGTGAGAAAATTATTATTATTTACAGAATTTGTGTTTTCTCTATTGTATAAATATTTCAGATTAGAGATTTTCACATCGCAAAAAGAGAGGAAGATATTGGCTACTATGCTGGCTATGTGGGTGAGATAATTTTTTGTTCTTCCTCTTTAATATTAGTGTTTTGTTTCTTCTTCCTTTTTTTTTTTTTTTTTTTTCATCACATTACCCTAATAAATCTCTTAAAATCTTGAAGGGTCTTCATTTATGCTTGGAAGAGCTTTGACATCTGTTTTCTGGGGAATTATGGCTGACCGCTATGGCCGAAAACCTGTAATAATATTCGGGACCATCTCAGTGTTAGTAACAGACTTCAAATTCATAATATTCAGAAATGCAATCAAAATATTTCTTATCATAATCTTTGGCTTGAAATTCGATCACAGGGTTATTTTCAACACACTCTTTGGACTTAGTGTAAATTTTTGGATGGCCATTACCACAAGGTTTCTTCTTGGAAGTTTAAATGGTTTACTTGGACCAATAAAGGCCTATGCGACTGAAATTTTTCGTGATGAACACCAAGCTTTAGGACTGTCAACTGTGAGTTTATTAATACTTATTTTTCTACCAATGTTAGAGTTCATATAATATTTTCCACAGGCATCAAATTGAATACAACTTTAATTAAATTTCAGGTGAGTACAGCTTGGGGCATTGGATTGATCATTGGCCCAGCTCTTGGTGGTTTTCTAGCTCAGGTTTTTCTCCTTTCCGGGGATTTTTTTTTTTTTTTTTTTTTCCTTTTGTTTCCTGCTGGTAAAGTGTTGTTCTAATGTTTTTGGATATTTTGCATTTCAGCCTGCTGAGAAATACCCAAATTTATTTTCCAAAGACTCTTTGTTTGGGAAGTAAGAAAACCGTTACTGCTTAAGCTCTTTTTTTTCTTTTATTTAATTTTGAGATGTTTAAAGTAAGATGGTATTCTGAAAAATGAAATTGATGCAGATTTCCATACTTCTTGCCCTGCCTTTGTATATCTATTTTCGCTTTAGTGGTGACAATTGCTACTTTCTGGCTTCCGGTATGTCATTTCTCTTATAAAAATAAGTACATGTCATTAGATTCTTAAAAGTTAAGAAAATGATCCTAATTGTTTTATTTGCAGGAGACACTTCACATGCACCATGAAGACAACGAATCATTGGATGTCTCATATGACGCTTTGGAATCTGCATCTTCCGAATCTGATAGAGATTTGAAACAAAATGAAGGAAACAAGAAACCTTCTAAGAAAAGCCTCCTAAAGAACTGGCCCTTAATGTCTTCTATTATAGTTTACTGTGTTTTTTCGCTCCATGACATGGCTTACACTGAGGTATACATATATTTTTTTTTATTTTTATGTTCATTAACTTTTACTTTCACTGGTGATCGAATTGGCAGCAATTGTTCTTTGTTCTGCAGATATTTTCACTGTGGGCGGTCAGTCCTAGGATCCATGGAGGTTTAAGTTATTCAACCGAAGATGTTGGCGAAGTTCTTGCAATCTCAGGCATGAATTCGAAACTTATATTAATTCGGATAGTTCCCATTTAACATTTGATCAACTGATAGCTTCATGATTTCCGAATTATTGAACTTGCAGGTTTCAGCCTTCTTGTGTTTCAGCTCTCTCTATATCCAATGGTGGAGAGGATTCTTGGGCCTGTAATGGTAACACGCATTGGAGGGGTAAATTTTCAGGAACATTTTGTATTATTTTCTGCCCTTGAAAATGTGATTCTATTTGTAATATAACTTCTTATTTGCAGATTTTAGCCATACCTCTTTTAACAAGTTACAGTTACATAGCATTGTTATCAGGATTCAGCCTCGCCTTGCTGATAAATTGTGCTTCGGTGATGAAGAACGTTTTATCCGTAAGTGCATATACAATAAAATTACATCAGTTTTACAATGTTTGGAACACAAACTGTGCGTTCGAACTGTTGTTAATGGTAATTTTTTTTTTTTTTTGTGTGTGTGTGTGTGTGTGTGAGTAGGTGTCTATTGTTACAGGATTGTTCCTTCTGCAAAACAGAGCAGTGGTAATATTCTTATTCTTTTTCTGGTTTACTTAATTTGTCAAATTATGGATGTTCTCTTATAGTATGTGTGAAGTTGCTGATTTGATAAAAAATGGCACAACAGGACCAGGATCAAAGAGGAGCTGCTAATGGAATTGCCATGACTGCAATGTCATTGTTCAAAGCTGCTGGTCCAGCTGGAGGAGGTGCAATGTAAGTACTTAATTATGAAATATATAATCAGTTTCAGGTGTTGACGGCTGCATAATTTTTTCAAATGAAAACTGGAAAATGTTGTCTTGTAATAAATCTACTTGTCAGTTGTACAGTACAAAATTAAAAAATATGGATAGTCTGCACCTGAGAATTCCCACTAAATTAAAATCATCCGTCACAAATTTTGAGTAATTTCATTCATGCTTTTGACTTATTAAGATTATATTGAAGTTGTATTGATCTTAAGATGCGTCGAATCTAAGCCATTAATTTGAACTAGAATTAAGGTCATTCAAAATACCCTTAATTCAATGACTTGAAAATTGTATAATAATTTGTGTAAAAAAAATATGCATTTATAAACCGATCCTTACATATATATAAGTTCATTACTGCTGGCAAAGTGTTCAATTTGTTTAATGATTCCAAAATTGACTTTACAGATTTGCTTGGGCACAAAAGCGTCAAGATGCTGTCTTCCTCCCAGGTAAGATGCAATTGAACAAGAGGTCTTTCCAGTTTTCATATATATATATATGTCCTCAAATGCGACATAAATTTTTGGATTAACTTTAGGTTATACTTTCTGTTGCAAAATCAGAATTGCATATTCATTAGATGAATGTGAATTTTGCAGGTGACCAAATGGTGTTCTTCATACTGAATGTAGTTGAGCTAATTGGAGTCCTAATGACATTCAAACCTTTTCTAGTTTCCTACCAAGGGTAAGAAACTAGAAGAAGTGATCAAAATAGATTCATTTCTCCCGCAATCTTTCGATCGGTTCAATACTGAAGCATCATATAAATAACTTGATTCTTTAGGGGGATTCTATGATTTTGCCAAGATGAGAATGCTTACACTAACAGGTTAGAGGCAATGTTCTTTGTGCCTATTTCAGGTGATCATGAACTTGCTGAGAACTTGTGCTTATTCTTATTGCCTTCTTACAATTGTATTCATATTTGTATGTATAGCAATTCAACCTTTTAATAAGAGATCTATCTGCTTTTGGTATGAATTGGAGTATGTGCCTATGCTCAGGGACTGATCCAGAATTAGTGAGGGGGCAAATTATATAATTTAATATAATTCTAAAAAAATTAGTGCGTAACTAATATAACATGCAAATGGAAAAAGTGAATGAATCGGGTCATATTTAGAAACATTAACACAAGTACAGCCAGATCAAAACATATTAACAAAAATAATGAAATAAAAGATGTTTTAGTGTGGATGAATAGTATCACACCAAAAAAAACTACAGAATTTTGTTTTTTGAGTGGGGATATTATCCCCCAATTGCCCCTTAAAAGATCAGTTCTAGTCTATGTTGCGACATATAATATTATCAAATACAAATACTTTACAATACAATGCAACACATTAAACAGAGTTTAGGTCATGTTTGCTTAGGGCGAATGGATTAGAGAATGAGAATCTTATTCCTTATCCCTTGTTTGATTTATAAATGTGACATAAGGAATAGGAATCTCATTCCTAAAAAAAAGATGGAGTGAGATTCCTCCCAAATTTGGGAGGAATGCCATCCATTACCATTAATGGATGGCTAAAATGTCTATTTTTCCCTTTTAAATTTTGATTTTCTATTTTACCCTTTAATCAATTTATTTAAATTTAAATTATTTTATAATTTAGTTATTATCTTATCAAAAATTTAATGATTTTATATAATAAAAATTTTAAATATTGTTAAACCAGTCAAAGTCCCTGGTTGGCGACATTTTATCCCTATTTTCACATCACTGTCAACACGTGAGAATTCAGAGGCTACTGATCTGTTGATCTAGGTGGATCCTGACCTCCAAAACTGACGTGGTGACGTCCCTTTTGGTGGTTTCTCGGATCATAGCCATTGTACATGACCTTAAGCCGTCATTTTTCGGTGATGGGATCTTTCCAGATCAATAGATCGCTAGCCAATGATTTCACACATGCCAATGATGAGGCCATTAGTGTGTGTAGACGATAGAATCTATAGTTACGAAACAAACTGATCCTGTAAGGTTGAGGCTACTAACGATCTGTTGGACCTGCATACACAAAGAAAGTAAACGCAAAGCTCACGGGGGACACCGGTGTGGTGTCAACCATAGGCACTCTGACGCTCAAGTAAGTGAGGCTAAAAAAGGAAATTTAGTGAAGACTAAGGGGAAGAAAGGTTACGGGAGTCTGATCGAAGACTAGAGCTATGATGAATGTGCTAGTTCTTAGAAGCAAGAACTTTAAGAACTAGTAGGTGGTACTGCAATTGAATAATAATGAGAGGCATGACCTCTGTTAATATAGTGAGCCTAGAAGCTTGAATCCTAGTAGAATTCGGAGTTCATTATGGCAGAGTTTAAGTAAATAGGAAAGTCTTGATTTACTTGCCTTTGTAGGAGTAAGAGTCCTAATTCATGTAAGATTTGAGATCTCGGGTGAATTAGGATGAAGGTGAAACTCTTGGGCAAATTAGGATATTGGTGAAATCCATAGATGAATTAGGATATTGATAAGAACCTGGGTCCTTTGGAGCGGTGGGCCAATGAGCTTGGGCCTAAGTGGGTTAACGACGAGGCCCAATTCAAGATAAAGCCTTAGTAATTGGATGATCCAACTCGTGAGTAGCCTGGTTGGTGCAATGGGCTGATTTGTAGTGTGGATCTCAATGTAGGTCCAACCGGAATTGGGCCATGGCCCTAGGCCATATAGTAGATGCTTCGTGTTTGGACGTGGTGAGACCCATTACGATTTTTGACCCATACAGTTTGTCCCCCACTCTTTGAGTTAAGGATGAATTTAACTCAGAGAGTAGATTTAGTCCAAGTGAAGGTGTCAGGATGAATGAAGATGTACTATGTGGAATGAGGATGCTTTAGGCCGAATGAGGATGCTCTAGGGAGGATGAAGGTGTGCCAGGCCAAGGGAAGGTGCTTTAGGCCGAGTGAAGGGGTACCAAGCCGAACAAGGATGCTTTAGGTTGAATAAAGGTGTACCAGGCTAAGTGAAGTTGCTTTAGGCTGAATGAAGGTGTACCAAGCCGAGTGAAGGTGTTTTAGGCCGAATAAAGGTGTACCAGGCCGAATGAAGGTGTACTAGGCCGAATAAGGGTGCTTTAGGCCGAATGAAGGTGTCAAGCTGAGTGAAGGTGTTAGGCCAAATGAATGCATCAGGCTGAGTGAAGGTGTCAAATCGAATAAGGCTGAGTGAAACTCAAAGGCTGAATGAGGCCGAGTGAAACCATGAGGCTGAGTGAAGCTCAAAGCCAAATGAGGTCGAGTGGAACCATGAGGCTGAGTGAAGCTCAAGGCCAAATAAGGTCGAATGGAACCATGAGGTCAAATGAGGTCGAGTGGAACCATGAGGCCGAATTCCACTCGATCGAATAAAGCAGAGAATCATGAGGTCGAATGGAGCTCAAGGCTGAATGAGGCCAAATGGAACCATGAGGCCGAGTGGAGCTCAAGGCCAAATGAGGCCAGGTGAAACCATGGGGCTGAGTGAAGCTCAAGGCCGAATGAGGCCGAGTGGAACCATGAGACTGAGTGGAACCATGAGGCCGAATAAGACCGAGTGGAACCATGAGGCCGAATAAGACCGAGTGGAACCATGAGGCCGAATAAGACCAAGTCGAACTATGAGGCCGAATAAGGCCGAGTGGAACCATGAGACTAGTAGAGCTTAAGGCCGAATGAAGTCGAGTGGAACCATGAGGCTGAGTGAAACCATGAGGCGAAATGAGGTTGGGTAAAACCATAAGGTGGAATAAGGTCGGGTGAAACCATGAGGTCGAGTGAAGTTAAAGGCCGAATGAGGCTGAGTAAAGCTCAAGGCTGAATGAGGCCGAGTGGAACTATAAAGTCGAGTGAAACTATGAGGCCGAATGAGACCGAGTTAAACAATGAGGCCGAATGAGATCATGAGGTTGAAAGAGGTCAACTAAAACCATAAGGTTGAGTGAAGCTGAAGGTTGAATGAGGCCAAGTGAAGCTAAAGGCTGAATGAGCTCGAGTGGAACCATGAGGTTGAGTGAGGCTGGGAGAAATCATGAGGTTGAATGAGGCCGGCTGAAACCATGAGGTTGAATGAGGCCGGGTAAAACCATGAGGCCAAGTGGAGCTCAAGGCTGAATGAGGTCGAGTGGAGTTTAAGGGTGAATGACTGGAGTTCAAGGCCAAATGAAGTCGAGTGGAACCATGAGGCCGAGTGAAACCATAAGGGCGAGTTTGTCCGTGTTTGTCCCCACTCTCTAAGTTAAGAGGCTTCTTAACTTTAGAGAGTAGTTTGAATTAGATATAGGTGTTGAATGAGTGAAAGAGTTCATGTGAGAAGGTCGTGATAGATCTCTTTTATACTCAATGAAGAGAGGATGCTTGCTTGACGTTGTGTCTGACGAGTATGAGTGACAAGATCAGAGTCGAGTCAACTTGAATTAGAGTAGTCGGCTTGACATGTTATATCGAGTGGACTTGTGCCGACTCGTAATGAAGAGCCGAACTTTGATGTAGTGCAAGATCATTCTGCCTTAGAGTAAGGCTAGGGTGCTTAGATATGATGTAAAGTAAGTTGCTCTAGATTGACTTGGCATCATCAATGTAGAGGCGGCTAGGATGAGGGACGAGTGAGTTTGTGCCAATGTCAGCTTGTCCCTCGTTGTACAATCGTAAGGCTCTACCTTAGGAGTGAAGTTGAGTGGCACTTGGTCGACTAGGCATGGAGTGAAGTAGCACTTGGTTGAATAGAAGTGGAGTAGCACTTGGTCGACTAGGTGTGGAGTCCAATAGCATTTGGTCGACTTGGCATGGAGTCGAGTTACTCTTGGTCAACTCGAATGAAGTTGAGTCACGAAGAGTCGAGTGACTCTTTTGAAGAGGAGACTTCAACAAGTGGGCATCTTGGGGATCAGCGGAGCCAAGTCAAGTCGTGAAGAGTCAAGTGAGGAAGAGTCAAATGACACTTTAAAAACAAGTAGAAGCCTTGGTGATGAATTGAGCCAAGCAAAGAAGAGCGGAGCAAAGAGGGGCTGAGTGTGGAAGAATCAAATCTCTTTTGAAGACGAGTAGAAGCCTTGGGGATGAGCTGAACGGAGCGAAGAGAATCTGAGTGGGGAAGAGTAGAATGACTTCTAAAGATGAGTGGAAGCCTTGGGGATGAGCTGAGCCGAGCAAATAAGAGCAAAGCAAAGAGGAACGGAGTGGGGAAGAGTTGAATGACTTATGAAGATGAGTGGAAGCTTTGGGGATAAGTCAAGCTGAGCGAAGAAAAACAGATTGAAGAGGAGCTGAGTGGGGAAGAGTTGAATGACTTCTAAAGAGTGGGAGCCTTGGGATGCGTCGAGTGGTGATGAGCTGAGCGACGAAGTGTCGAGTGACCTCCAAAGAGACTTTAACGAGTAGAAGTCTTGAGGAGTGGCCAAGTGAGGCCGTGTGAGGCCAAATGAGGTTAAGTGGCCAAGGCCGAGTGAGACTAAGTGAGGTTGAATAAGGTCGTGTGAGGCCATATCCCCCATTATCTAAGTTACAATCAAGTGAGGCCGAATGACGTCAAATGAGGTTAAGTGGTCGAGATCGTGTGAGGTTGAGTGAGAGCAAGTGAGGTCATGTCCCCCACTCTCTAAGTTGCAACCGAGTGAGATCAAGTGATACCAAATGAGGCTGAGTGAGGACATGTGATGCCGATTGAGGCCTTGTAAGGCCGAGTGAGGCTGAGCCAATTGGATGAGTGATGGCAAAGCCGATTGGAAGAGTGAGGTCGAGCCGATTAGATGAGTGGAGGCCGAGCAGAATGGACAAGTGGAGGCCAAGCCAACGAGAAGAGTGGAGGCCGAGTCGATCGGATGAGTGAGGTTGAGCCGACCAGATGAGTGGAAGCGGAGTCGATTAGATGAGTGAAGGTCGAATCGACTGGATGAGTGGAGGCTGAGCCGATTGGATGAGCAGAGGTTAATCTAACTAGGTGAGTGAGGCTGAGCTGACTAGGTGTGTGAAAGCAGAGCCAACTAGCGAGTGAGGTCAA